GCACACACACACAGGAGTGAGCTCAGGGGGGCACACACACACAGGAGTGAGCTCAGGGGGCACACACACACAAGAGTGAGCTCAGGCACCCACGGGGCTCAGGGAGGAAAGCTGGGCTGTCACAGACATCTTAAATGAAAATCCTTTCCTCAGGGTTTTTCCTCCTGAGAAGCTGAGAGACCTCAGGAACAAAATGTACACATTGATTATCTGCTGCTGTGGAATACAACAGGTGCATCTGTGATTGGCCCATGTTGGTTGTTTCTAATTAATGGCCAATCAAAGTGAGCTGGCTTGGACAAACCCTTGTTATCATTCTTTTTCTACTGTTAGCTAGCCTGCTGATGAAATCCTTTCTTCTATTCTTTTAGTATAGTTTTAATCTAGTATATATTATAAAATAATAAATCAGCCTTCTGAAACATGGAGTCAGATCCTCATCCTTGGACCCCTGTGAACACTGGTCACACTGGACATTGGTGCAGTTTGTTTGGGGGATCCCTGGGGGTTCCCTAAGCTGTGTGTTCACTGGTAGCAGCAGGCAGGCAAGGAGACTCTATATGGATTCTGGGGGTGCTGATTAGATGAGGGTTTCTTGGGGGTCCCACCCCCAGTGGGACCATCCTCATATCCACATACAGAAACAACCAACAGCCCTCAACCTTCATAAAAACCACCAAATCCTGAAAATCATCAATGATGCCCTAATCAATCTCCCAGCACCATCAAATATCTCAACATGATGAAATTTCAGATCTCTATTAGGTGTTTGCTTGGTTTCTGAGGGAGAAGGGGGAGAGAGGGAGAGCCTAGGGAGAGAAGGGCCAAGAGAGGTTTGGGATCCCCAGCACAGCTTAACAAGAGACTCAAATTGGATGTGGAATGAGACTTGGGCCAGTGGGATTACAGGTCCATGATCCTCCCCTGCAGTATCACAGGCTTGGAATAAACCCTGCATTTTCGAAGGGTGAGACCGAGAATACCATTTAATTAAAATGTAACACCACAGGATCTCACTCCAGAAGGGCCCTTAAATCTGCCTACACTGAGGTTGTTGTTACAGTAAACAAACTGACATTCCTTCACGGAGTTCATCCAGATTATTCAAAATCAAGACCAACATTACACTCAGAATGTGTTCTAAAAACCCACAGAATGTTAAACTGTCTAAAAACAAATGCTGCTATCTTCAATCCCTCTCTCAGAGTGATGTGACAGCTCATCTGGTTTCCCTCAATGACCTATGTTAAAGCTACAGAAAGAACTAGCAACACACACACACACACACACACTAGCAACTACACTGTGAAATAAGTGTAACACTGCATTGTAACAGGCTGCTCCAGAGAATCTGCTGCCCCAGCTCTGGAACAGCACTGGGAGAAGGTGGATTGACTGGACAAACCTGCTGCCATAAGGATATGCTTCTCTCTTCTGGTAAGGGTTGTGTTCAGCATCATACCAGTACCTCTGGTCATAACTCCTCGGGTCTCTGTACCTGGGGTCGTACGGGTATCGCTCCCAGCGACCTGGATCTTGAGAAAACAAAAAGAAATGGTTCAGATATTGGTAGATTTTAACTATAATCTTCTTCTGCTCTTTTCTCTTTAATTACAAGTTGGTTTTGTCCTGAAGCACAGAGTAAACCCAAAGAAATGTACTTAAAGCTACATAAATATGTCCACTCCTTTTTACTTTAAAAAATCAATTTTACACCTTTCAGAATACATGGCTTTTAGAGTTAGTTACTCCTGAGGGGTCAGTGTTTGCCATCAGATCTTTTCTAAACATCTTTAAACCTCAGTCCTACTATTTGTTATGACATTCACAGATTCTCTGTGATCAGTCTGCAGTGCCAAGCAAAACATCTCAGGATGTGGACAGATGTTGCTCAAAACCCTCCCAGGCACTACACAAACAATTACCTCCAGACTCCCAACGCCAGCATGTCTCAGGGAGCACTTAGATAATGATGGACAAAACCAAAATCCAGTCCTGAGTCAACTTTACACCCACCTAAAATTCACTTCACAGGTTTGCCTTCAGGTCACACACCAAGGACACACCCCAGTGAAAGGCAGCCTTGCATCACATGGAACAAAACTGTTCTGTATCCTTACAATTGAGGGTTTGCACAAAGGAAAGGCAAACTTAAGGCCTGAGTGAGGAAAATCTATGGAAAAAAAAAATCAGAGTTCTTTTGGACACTTTACCTCCATAATCATAGGAGTTTGGATAATAGCCTGAATAATAATCACTCCATCCACCTTTTCCATAATAATCTTCTGTATACCCTTGCCTGAAAGAAAGCAAACAAGTATACAAAAAGTTGTTATTCCTCCTTAACCTCTTCTAAATTCAGCAGGAGGTAGGAAAAACTCTATGCCCCAATTGATTAGACAGAGTTGCATAGTTAAAATAATGCATTTCCAGGAAACCAAGGAATCATAAAATTAAGACTTTACAACCCAATATAACACTGAATTGTTGTGTGCCATTGAAAGCTGACAGCCCTTAGCATACAATAATTTAGTGGCTTTATAAACTGCTTTGGTGATAAGTTTAATTACTTACAGACAATTATTCACAAAAACTACTGCTATAATTAGCATCCTTTGAACTGTCTCAACAGAGAAGTCAACAATTTAACAATTCATTAAGAAATAATAGCTCCCTCAAATTTAACAGTGTTTTATTATACAGCTCATAATGAAGAAAATTCTCATTTACAGAGCTGATTGTCCAAACAAGCACAAAAACCTGGATAAAACCAGCACAACAAAGTAAGAGTCAGTGTATACAAAAAGATGATTTCTTTTGATGAAAAAAAGAAAGATGTGGCCATTATTTGGAATATCATGAGCCTTTATTATACAACATTTTCACATCATAGAATTCCTGAAAAAAGCCAGAGGATGAATGTTAGATGAAAAATGCAGTGTCTACATGTATGTGAACACATAAATGTATATATGTATACATGCATGTATGTTTGTACCTACACAGTTGCATGAATCTCACAAACACACCTGGCACACACACAGAGCAGGGGAAGGTATTTCATGCCAGTTTGGAGTGATGGAAACTTCCACCTTTCCCTACAACTGGTCCTACAAGTCAGAGAGCAAACTGCAGAGTGGCTGCCAGCACAGCCCTCACCCTGCAGAGGAGCTCTGATCTTATCACACCAGCCCTGGCCACCCAACCAGTCTGTCCAGAGAGATCTCACTCCTTTCTAAAGCAGAGTTTCCAAAGCTGCTGTGCCACATTCAGGGCAGTTTCACACACACACAGAGCTCTGCAGCTGCACACCACAGTCCCTGCCTGTCTGCACTGGCACTCACAGCAGCCCTGACACAGCCACTCCTAGCAGGCTTTGATCTGTCCACTGCCACGTAGAGAAACTTCAACCCCTTCTGAAAATAGCACCTCAGGAAGTGCTACTAGAGGTTATCATCTCATTTCCAGAGCCCACAGCACACTTAAATTCACTTAAGAAAATGGTAAAAGTTATCACATGGAGCTACAGCCATTGTTTTGATCTCCTCAAGACCAAAATACATCTATAATCTTCTGGAGATGGTAAATAAAATGTGATATTTGTAATTTGATCACTGTTTCATGAGTGAACTACCAACAAGAGACAAACATTACAAAAGGTTTCATCACTTCCAGACAGGAGTTTCTCTGTTAGAAACTGCAAAGAAGGTAACAACAATAACATTTTGTCATTAATTTAAAGTTCATACAAATAACTTACACAATTATCATCAGAAAGCAGCAATCTCTTCAAGGTAATTTGCTGCTTCTTGCTTGAGTAGAGATTTAATCCTGCATTTTCAAGTAGCATCTGAACATATTGTTCCCCTCTCTCTTTATTTTATATTAATCAGACAGATCAAGGCTTCTAAGTTTTCCTAATCAAAATCTGCAGTGAAATGAGTGGGTGGGACATGCCCACACAGCACCTCTGCCACCCAGACCACACTCTGGGAGCTTTGTGAGGAAAGCTGATGCACAGCTGAGGGAATTGTCACACAAACGGACCTGAGACAGCACCAGGATGCTGTCACCTGACTCACCACTCTCTTCTGAGCACCTGAACCACTGTGTATCCATGGTGCTGCAAGGCAAATCTCACCCAATGTGCAAAACTGCCATTCATTAACAGACCAGGGGCCCCTGCTTAAGTGCAAGGCAGAAAATAAATGAGTATTGATTAATAACCCCATGACCTGCACTGCTCTTTCACAGCAAACATCAGCACTGAGGTATCGCAGACATTTTTTCATAGAAATCTTTTCTTTCACATTTGTCCATCTTCTGAGAAGCAGAGCCCCAGAAGAAGAATGTAAACAATTGTTATCAGCTGCTGTGAAATGTAGCATGTGTCCCTGTGATTGGCCCATCTTCCTTGTGTACCATTAAAGGCCAATCACAGGAGCAGCTCAGGGACAGATTCTCTGCACACAGAACTTTGTTTTTTCATTCCTTCTATTCTATTCTTAGCTGAGCAGCTCTCTGCAACCTCTCTTCTTTTTCTTTGTAGTATAGTTATAATGTATTATATATCATATATCAATAAATCAAGCCTTCTGATTAAGAAACAAAATTCTCATCCTTCTCTCACCACAGTGACCGTCTAAGGCCACTGTAATACTGAGGCTATCACAGTGACTTCCTGCCTGGCAGAAACACCAACAACCCTCAAAGAACTGAATGAAAGGAACAACAAGCAAGAGGAAAGGCTGGGGAATTGTATCCTTCCCAGACATGCCATTTGACACCGTCCATCCCTGAGGCAGCACACAAAGAGGTTTTGAATTCCTCCCAGTGGTTTATGCTGTAAAACTTCAACAGGTAGCATTACCCTCCCTGCTTTGGGGTACCCAAATCTTGTCTCAGCTGAGGATCACCCACCTGGAGGCAGGTCTGTCAGAGCAGTGGCTGGCCCTGGAGCTGGGCCGCTCGGGCTCGGGGTAGCGGTAACTGCCGGGCTCCATGTAGGCAGCGCTGCCCTCGTAGTGCCGGTACCGGGGGTCGTACTGCCCGTAGCTGTCCTCCTGCAAGAGCACAGGCAAGGGAAGAGGCTGAGCACCTCTGAAATCAACAGTTCAAACCAAAATCCATCACCATTCACACCACTGCAGTGAGCCACAGCTGTACTGCAAGAGCACAGGCAAGGGAAAAGGCTGAGCACCTCCCAAATGAACAGTTCAAACCAAAATCCATCACCACTCACACCATTCCCTGGGACAGTGCAGTGACACCTGAAGAGATATAATAAACTATATCTTAACTTTTATTACTTTTTGTGGCAGGAGTTCTAGTCAAGTTATAAATATCCTAAACTTAAGGAAAAAACCCATTATGTCTGGGCTAAAGAGATTTCAACCTTTCTACTAAACCATCAATAATTCAGGCAGCAGATAGGAACCAAGTTTGAGCACCTGGACTGCCAACTTTTTCCAAACAAACTGCTATGAGCTGACATCTGTGCCAACTATAATTGGTATCAGCAACCACTTAAGTTTCCATAATCTTTGCAGTGTCAGTTTTGTTACTGCTGTCTGGATTTTCTCTACACTTAAACACTTAACGTGAATGCTCTGCTGAATGTTGTTCGTGACACAACTGCTTAAATTCCTAACTCAGAAATGAAAATGAATAATACATATTAAGGGGGGAAAAAGGGAAAAATAGAAACTTACCATGTAATAAAGGTGAGCTGCTGTCCTGGGGTCTGCAGGAGGATAGGGTGGTGGGTATGGAGCCTGGTAAGCATCATAAGGATGTCTGTAGTAGTAGTAAGGGTTCTGGGGTGGACCAAAGGCCTCCTGAGGGGTCTGAGGAGGGGGAGGACGCTGCAGGTCTTGCTGCCCGTTGGGTGGCACTGCCTGAGCAGTGCTGGCAGGAGGGGCAGTGGCAGCTGGAGCACCTGGAGGCTGCTCTGACACCGGCTGCTTCCCAGGACTCGTCTGGTCGTACCTTGGCTGGCCTGAACCTCCCTCTTGGGGTCCCCCAGGCTGGGCACGGTTACCCAGCACCTGGCTGTCCCCCTGCTGCATGGCCTTGGCCCCTGTGGAAATCTGGGAGTCTGCAGGAACTGAGGATTGCCCAGATGTTGGTGGCTGCATTTGAGCTGCTTGCATTTGTGGCTGTGCAGCTCGGTCTGCTGCTGCAGCCTGGTGCTGCACATCTTTTGTCACCTGTTGGTAGAAATGTTGTTTGTCAGGCACCTCGGGACGCACCTGGGCAGCACCAGCTGCCTGTTGGGCTGGAGCACCAGAGGGTGACTGATTGTGCACCTGGACAGAATTACTTGTGCTGCTTTTCTCCAACGTCCGTGGCACTGTGAAGTCCAGCACTCCAGCAGCTTCTTTGCTACTTGATTGATTTGCAGAATTATTAGCCTGGGCTATGGAATTAACAGGGGGGACCAGGCCACTTGCACTTCCACTGGGAAGATTTGTCCCAGGAGAAACAGATGAGTTAGACCCTGGCTTGCTAGCAAATTCAGGAACAAGGCCTTCCACATTAACATTCTTTTGCCCTTCTGGACTCAAATTAAGAGGAGTTTTCATAAGCAAGTTTGCAGGCTGATTAGAAGCAGCATCAGAGGAATTAACAGGACTTTGCAATAAATTATGTTTTAACAGATTAGTATTTGGAAGTGCATTAACTAGGAGAGATCCAACTTGCATCACAGGTAGTGGAATGTTTTCCCCACCGGCATGTGAACTTTGGGGACCCATCGCAGGCTTGTCCCCAGCTCCAGAGTCCTTCATTGGCTGATTGTTTTCATTGCTGCTTAGCTGATTAGATAGAGAAAGAGAAAAATTAATTGGCTGAGCCAAGTTATAGCTTTGATTAGGCTGAGCAATCAGGATAGGCTGATTTTGCAAAGACTCTGTAGGTGGAGAAGACAATAAACTTGCATAACCAGAACTTGCCTGAGACTGAAGTGCTTCCTCCTCTCCCATTTTGGGAGGATTCTCAAGATTTTCAAAAGCTATATTTCCATCCTGGGAGTGCTGCACAGCAATAGTTCCTGGTTTACATGGCTGCTGATTAGACAAGCCTTCTTCTGGTGGCTGAATGACTTCCACAGTCTGTTTGGCAGGTACATACACTGCAGGAGCAGCAGGAGCTAGGAGAACATTTCCCCCAAAATTTGGTAACTCATTGTGAGCCCATAAAGTCGTTGCTGGGCTATCACACTTCTTAACTGCTCCCTGAGCTCTGGTGGAGGAGCGTCTCTCAGATACTGATTGTATATTTTCCACAACAGGTCCAGAGTGCAGCGTGTTTCCAGCCTCCCCAGTGCCTGGGTGTACCTGAGGCATGTAAATTGTTTCCAGATTATCTGGTGGCTGTTCAAGATTGCCAGGAGATGCAGCAGGCACTGCTGTGTTCTTCTTGATATTCTTCTGGTTCGAGTGGTTCTCTCTTAATTCAACCACCATCTTTGCTTGGTCAATCTCTGCAGGTTTTATACCAACTCCATGGGACCTCACAGGTTCAAAAGAACTATTTGCACTTGTCTGAAACACTCCTGTAGGCTTAGGAGGACTTGGAGTGGGAGGCTGGGATAGATTGCTGTGGTAGTTCTTGCTGAGGTTTAGCTCACCTGAATCACCTCCCAGAGGAGAGGAGTCAATCTGTTTGAAGAAGCTGGCAGAGGATTCCTCATCAGGCTTCCCAATTTCCTGCTGGATAAATGTACCGCCGTGCTCCGGGGGCCGTGCAGAGCTGGAGCTGCTCCTGTGGCTGATGCTGCTGTAGGTGGAAGAGACGCTGTCTGGCCGGCCAGGGTGAGGTAAGGAGTCAGGAGCCTCCAGGTTTGGTCCTCCTTCAGCATGGCTGACTGCATTCTTGGGAAGCGCCTGACCCGGGAAGGATCCGTACCTGTACGGATCGGGACCAGCAGCAGGGCAGGAAGTGTTGATGTTCTGGGGTTCACTTGGCAGCACCTCCTGATTCTGAATGCACTCCAGGTTCTCCACATTCTCGTACTGGGACCCAGCAGCTGGGTCACCTATCTGTGCCTTGTCATCACCAGCAAACAGAGAGTGCTTAGCAGCCTGTGCCTCCTGATGGCTGACAAGTTTAGGGAAGTACTGGGCATCCATTCCTTTCTGTACCATGTCACCAGCTGAACCCAGCTGTGCCTGAGAGAGAATATTGGTTGCCACCTGCTGAGGATGCACAGGCTGGTGATACAGGGAGGCTGAATTTTGCTGACAGGCATCAAACTCTGTTTTCTCCATTACGTATTTTTTCTCAGATGAAAGTATTTCTTCATTTTCTGCCTCATCCCCTTTGAAGAACATGGAGAGAGTTCCTGGATCTCGATCTGTGGGAACAGATCTATTTGACGTTTCAGACATAGCTGGAGACTGGTTTTTGGGGTTGTTTTCCTGAGCTGTGGGAAGGACAAAACCCGAGTCTTGCAAAGGTGGCTGTGGGTAAAACTGTTCCTGGTAAGGTTGGTTTGACCAAGGGTTAGTCATGTCTGTGTTCTGCCTAAACACATTTCCAGGTTGGACGCTGTTCATGTGATGGCTGCTGTTTGCAGGGCCATTTTTACCATTCCTCTCACAGCCAGCGGGTAAAGGCGCTTGCACGACGTTTTGTGAAATTCCTTGGTGCCCAGGGCCCTGTGGGACGTTTGTGTGTGGAGGAGGGTGAGAAGCACTGACAGAAGGCTGAGAAATGTTGTGAACGTCAGTCTGAGGAGACGGCTCAGGATAGGGCACAAAATTGCGGACTGGAGACTGCAGATTGCCTGGGACAGGCCTCCACTGGGGCCCAGGCTGCTGGGGAGGTGGTGGGAAGAGCGCTGCCGTGGTGGGTGCTGAAGCTGCATCATTTGCATCTCTGCCAACATCCTGCCTAGCTCCAGGTTTGCTCGCTGCAGACACCACCCCAGGATGCACACTGAAAGAATTTTCCACTGCTGCTCCTGGGTTATAATGCAAGGGCGCCGCAGGCCCACGGAGTCCAACATCAGCGTTGGGATGCCCTTCTGCAGCACTATTTATAACATACCCCGGGGACGGAGAGGCAACTGGAACACTGGGAAAGCTACTGGTGCCTAGCCCTGCCTGAGGCACAGGAGCCG